CTTTCTACTTTTGTTCAGCAAACACGAGGTGCTATTTTATTTCTTTATTTTTTTCTTTATAAAAAAATGAAATAGGACCTCGTGTTTGCTGAACAGAAGTAGAAAGATATATTCAAAACTTTTTGCCAGAAATAGCTTTTCAAAGTAGTCATTGACGGCTCTTACCAGGATAAGAATTTTACAGTATTGCATTCAGCACGATTTCAACACTTTCTCTAATGGATGACTGCAGAATTTCATGAGATTATGAAATCGTTGCGTACCACAGGTGGCTTGGTTATGGGATTTCGAAAAACTGTTTACTGTTGGCTGCCATGCGAACTGGATATTGTCCCGCAAAATATTTTATTCACTACCTGTGCACATTACGGTAGTGATCCAAGTAGAAGATAAACCTGAAGATTCTGCTCATCTCTAAGGTTCAGCAAGAATTGTACGACTGGGAACGTAGTAAAATCAGATTCATTTGCTTCGTGAATGACAAATTGAAAACAGTCCCAGCGCTGTAAAACTATAGCTCTGTTATTGGTTTTTTATGGACGCTGATTAAAGCCGAATATGCGGTTCCGTGTTATAGCACTTCCGCGTCGTGTTAGTTGAATTGCTGAGCGACGAGCTGTTCCGCCACAACAGCCCCTTGTGCGTTCAATGCGATACCGTACTAAACCTTTCAGCCAATGAAGAAAAATACCGTACTCAGCAAGCTTTCAGTTGGGAACCATGCAAGTTCATGAAGTCACCACAAAAACCTTCTAGCGATTCAAATGGTCATCTCAGTAAAGCATAACTCGCGCACGTCACTACTTTGTTTTTCCCGGCCTAAGAAACATTCTCACCAGTTTTTGCATTCCTCATCGAATACCCAGTAATTTTTTCAAGTGAGATTGCTTTAAAGCGATGGAGACGACAGCTCGAATTTTCTTACGGCCATGTTGATCGAAAAAAATGTATTTAACTGCTGTAAAATTACGTTAAGCATTTTATTTACTGCTTTATTTGCTGCTTACTACAGTTGTAATGCTGAGATATTTGCAAAACTCCGGACCGCAGGTGCTTGCGGTAGGGAACGTGCTATTGTCCTTTCTGGGGAGTAACGCGTTCACCACAACACCATGCGGGTCCTTCGTTTCGCCTGTCTATCAGCTGGTTCTACCGATTCTTTGCCATCAGCAATCACCCGTGAACGGAATTGTTCAGGAGAGCCCAAATCGGTATTCAAGCCAGTTAAGCTCAGGCTATAGTTATAATCACAATCTTAACCATTTTATTCACTGTCTATTCTTTTTAACGGCAGGGTATATTGTGAAATATAACTTTCAATGATGCTGAAATATTGCAAAACTCCTGACCGCAGGTCGACGGGTTCGTTCTCCACCGCAAGCACCTGCGGTCCGAAGACTTTTGAAGTATCTCAGCATTGTAATAGTTATATTAAAAAAATACTTTACCGTTAAAAAGAATAGGCAGCAAATAAAATGGTTAAGATTGTGCTTACTACAGTTTTCCACGATAGGGTCCTATGTGAAATGCAGCCACAATGATACCGTTATATTTGCAAAGCTCTGCTCCACAGGTGTCGCACACATATACAAAAAGTTTCAAGCAAAAAAAAATTTACGTTTACTTCTAGTAGACATTTGCAGTACTATCTAGAGATGTGAAGATTTATAAGAGGAACCACTATGCTCGTCACTTCTTCAACAAGAGCACAAGAAAGGGAATCGTCTTTCTATGTGCTCGCTGCTGAAAAGATACATTATTTTTGCAAAAATTTTGCGAAGCAAAACTTTACCAGAAGATAGAAAAAATAGAAGAGAAGAACTTTACAAATTTTACTGTCTCACGAAGTTTGACTGTTGTGTGCTCGTTTTATCAAAGATGGAGAGCGTTGGTCGTTTCAGAAAGTCATTTTGTATTGACTAGTAAAAAAGATCTACAACTAGTGTTTTCGATTACACTGAGGGTTTACATTACGATTGTTATAAAGAAACTCTCATGTTTAAATTACAAGCTCGGATTTCTGTCAAACCCTTGCATGAACTACATGTCGCACCATAAGAATGGGAAATAAAGATCATTCTGTGTACTGAAGCCACTTGAAAAGAAAAAGACAACCAACTGGTGAAGCATAACTGACACCGTCGCGATTTAGAAAGTCCATCTTCCATTACAAATACGAACAGGCGACTGCTTTTGTGAGAGGTCAGCGGATTTACTAACTAGCAGAAAACTAGCCACGCTGTCTTCGAATTTCACTGTTAAAGCCTGGCGCGGAAGTACTTAAAGACGTCCTCCCAAAGCAGTGCGTTAGTGGAAATTCTAACGCCTATTAATTAGGTTGTCCCTGACAGTCTGATGTGGTAAGATAGTTAGAATTCCCGCTACTTCACTGAGAGTTCGCTTGCGTTCCAAATTTTTCACCGCCATTTAAAACACGTCTGTCAGTTGTCAGAACTGTCCTTGAATGAACTGTTGAACGTTTGGAGACATCAACTCCAACTTCTAACTCTGGAAAATCACCAGCTTAAGGTCCTACGAAAAAAAAAACTCTTTAGAAAAAGGTCTACGTTTTTAAGCAAACTGTTTCATACTCGTAATCAAACGGTGTGAAGCCTCGCCTAGTGGAATACATTGCTGACTCAAAATGTGAAACAGCGTGTTTCCACATCGGAGAAGACAAATCGAAAACAACGTCAGCGCCGATGAATCACTGGTCCTTTTATGAGTTTTAATAGCGTCGAATAAAGGTGGAGAACGGTCCCGTGTTATAGCAGTTCCGCGTCGTATTGGTTGAATTGATGGGCGACGAGCTGTTTCGCCAGAGCGCCATTACCGTTGCGCTTTCGATGCGATGCTGTACCAAATCAACAAACTTCTTTCAGTGCGAATACCTAGTTAACAAGTTTCCAGTTAGAAGCAGCACAATTTCATCGTTTTACGAAATTTTATCGTTATGAATATTTTATTAAACATCACGGTAGATAATCGTTTCAGGCCCCAGTTGTGCTTTAGGAAGCAAGAAAATTCTTAATTACAACTTAATCAAAAAAGTTTTCTGTCCTTAGTAAGAGCTTGGTTTGTAACCTCAACTACAGTCACAACAGTAGAGTCGAAAGAAACAAGCACTTTTTGTTTTTAAACCACTCGAAAAGGAATATAGACCAATAAAAGCAACCATCTCTAGCACAGCTGCTGCATAGCGAATCTAACCTCTGTTACAACCATAGATTGTCTACTGTCGTGGTGCAAGCCCAGTCGATTTATCAACAAGCAGCAGAAGAGCGATTCTGCTTGGAAGTGTCACTGTTAAAACCAGGTATGGAAGTATTTAAATCTGTTTTCTTAAAGGATTGCTTCAGGGGAAATTCTGTGACCTCTCATTTAAAAATAAGAGCTAGGCCAAGCTTAGAGGATGGGATGCGTGTGGCGCAGTGGTCGGAGGCGCCCTGTCGCACACATGTGGAATCGATCCCAGCGCCCATGGCTCACCAATCTCCCAGGTTTGGCAAACTAGTACCAGACTTGTCTGGGAGGATAGCAGCACTCTATCGATACATCGCTAGGACACCGCGAGTCATTGTAAAGGCTATTTATGCGTTCAATTACTTGCAAACGTTGGTTAGTGAAGTCGAATGCATGGCGTATTCCTGACAGATTGATTAACACCGAGAGCCTTATCTTTTATACTTTTTACGGGATACTTCATCTGGTCTCATCTCATGACCTCAGCTAATTTGACGTGCATCATAATTACGATGACTAAGATTTTGCCTACATTGACCTTCCCACATTTTCACCAATACAGAGGACTTCAATGTTTTTCATCAATAAGCAGACACGAGGTTGTTAATATAGAATTTATTAGAACACAATTGCTGACGTTTCGGCGGTTTCGCCTTCTTCAGAGCCTGGAAAGGTCAAATTGAGATGCGATCTACTCAGCCAAACACTTTCATAACCCTAGCAGATAAAACTTGATAAATCGATTTGCATTCGCATAAGAAACAGCTTCATTCAAACACCTACAGTTTATTTGTCGTAAGTATTTAAGTTAGTTGGTGGATAGCCGCCGCACAGAGTAATACATGGTCGATAACTGGGTCCATGTCAGATCATTGGATCAGCCTGAGGTATGGCGCTAGGTCACGCGTGATGACAAGGCACTCCTCCTTGCGGTTCATTTTTGAATTTTTGGCATTGATCCAAAACGCTTCAAGAGTTTTTCGCGCNGAGCCTGGAACGGTATACTGATATACAATCTACTAGGCCAAACGCTTCAATAACACTTACGCGAAAACTCGTAGAGGCTTTTTGGATCAATGCCAAAAACCCTACAATGAATAGCAGGGACGAATGTCCGGAGGTCATACGCGACCTGATCCCGTACGTTCGCATCGATTTTTGATGTGGGATGGTGCAGTCGTCAACCACATGCGACTATAATCAGCTGTTCTAAACTTCCTCATTGGAAGTCACAAAAAAAGCGGTGGGTTTTTCGAGAAGTTGTTGATCGTGTAGTTACCAAAGAGTCTTTCGTCTTTGTGTAAGTGTCACTGAAGCGTTTGGCCTAGTAGATTGTATATCAGTATACCCTTCCAGGCTCTGAAGCAGGCGATACTGCCGAAACGTCAGCTAGCGTTGTATTGTATTGTGTTTTTTATGGAAGTAAATGTATGCTGTTTAAAAACCTCGCGATTGCTGAACAAGAAAACGACACATTCATATTCCAATGCCAAGGTTAAGAGAAAGTCGATCCTGGAAACAAATTATGTCCTCATCTGAAATACTTATGTCGTTAGTTTTTGAGGAAACTTTGAAATGCTACTAAAATATGAATCAAATACTATACACAAAAGATAGGCCAAATTGCAGAACCATGCAATCTGCACAAGATCGATCATAATTTCTAGATAGATGGCTATTGGTTGCAATCGTTCTGAATATTCTATTACACTATGTTAGGGATAGGGTTATTGGCTGTATGACATTTTCAGGTAGATATGCCACCTTATCTCAAAAAAGTGCTCGACCTCGTGAATTCCTTTGAAGGAGCTCGAAATTCCCGAATTCTCAGTCCAAGATTCGCTCCAGTGGTTCCGGAAAAACGTCGCAATAAGGGTTTCCTTTCTCCATCATTATTTCCTTTTTACAGCGACAACACAGAGGAGCAGATACTCCCTATTCCTAAGGTATGTGCGCTATTACGTTATAGAAATCACTTCTATGCCAATGAACGCTTTTTATACGTCTCTTTATTCAAGCCTAGATTAAAACCATTTGATAAGTAACAAAAAATATAGGAGTTTATGAAATTAAAGTAAGGAATACCATAGTTTATGTATCTTTTCGCTATCTATTTCATTACTTGCTAAACACTTGCTTTACGGAATTCGGTCGAATAACATCAGTTCTTCGAATATATATATATATATAT